GCTCGTGCGACGGACTTCGCCATTTTAAGGGCGGGAGGGAGGGAGGAAGCAACTCGTTGTCTATTGCGGGGGGGTCGCGAAATTTTTTTATGTGCAAAGAATATTTCGATGAATCTAACATCTTCGCAAGTGACAACAATTTTCAAACTGTTTATTTTTACAGTAACCTTCAGAAGGATGTATAATTTACAATGAGTATACCTAGAGATCTGAGTAACAAAGAAAGAATGCAGATGGAGCAAAACCAATATATATCTATGCGTATTATTATATTATCAGAATAGCCACGAAATGTGGGACTATGCCGGTACCTAGAGCTGAAGCTCGTTACCGAAGGTCTTACTTTTAATTATTGAGGTATCACTGGTGTCTCAGATCCTTTGAAAATTATTTTGTTTTAAAAATAGGTGCACTATAAATACTCTAAATAGACTTATCAATGATATAAGTAAAAATTCCATATACGGGACAGATAAAAACGCCGCGTGCGGGGAACAACGCGGAAGAGTAATTATAAAGCAATGGCGTCCGTGCATGCTCTTAAAAAGTTTAAAATTAAGAATGTACTCTTCTTTCGATATATAGTATCAGGGATTGTCATTTTTTCTTTCAACAAGAACGGTCTCTAGATGGACGAATGCAGTATTGTGGAAAAGAATAGAGTCCTCTTGTTTTTAAGGGAAATCCCTTCGTCGGTTCCCCAATGAGATTTTGCTCGCTGTCTTAAAGCTCTCTGTCGTCGCTTGTCAAGAGAGATTTCTTTTCCCGAAAAGGTGGAGCGGAACGATTTCATTTTCCTGAGTACCACGTTTCCCTTTCAAACTGGTAAGTGTAACATATCAACAATCACGAGCACCAAAGTCCGATTAACATAAGGAAAGCTGGAAGACTGCGGTATTTGGTTCACGAAAAGTTCCCTATGCGAAGGGCATTTTGCAAGATTGAACTTTGGACTCAGGAAACCGCCCATGCACTACTACCAAGAGATTTGTTGACGTCCAGATAGCCAATGGAATCACATTAGCCATCGCAACCAAAATGTGTCTTTTCCATCTTTTTCGCCAAACAGCCATAACTGCTATATTCTGAAAACGAGTCTCGATGGCCAAGGATACGCTGGTAAAAAACCATTCAATAGCCAGCGCAACCAAGGTATGGATTGCAACCTTCTGCCTAAGGTTTGAAAGTGGAACGTTTTGTAAGTAAACTAACTGATATAAGTACAACAATCCGTTAACAGACACAATAGCAGTTGACTCATACAACATGCTCATGATAATGATGTCAGCCATTAGTCTCTCACAGCGAGGAGTGCGAAAACTTCCCCAAGGAGCTGAGTGTCTTTTCCAGATCACATGACAAATATGATCAATGAAGACCATGGTGCTTCGTTCTAAAACTTCTGCCGCTCCATGGACTGCTCCAAGAAGAGCGATGAATCGAAGGTTTTCAAGGTCTGCTTGTAACACTCGAAACATGATCGCTGATCCAAAATACAACGGCACTAACAAGCTGTA